AGCTTACCTGTTTTTTCCATTTCCACTGAGATCCAGTGTACCCTGTTACCCCGCTTTCCATTGCACACCCCACTCTGAAAGCAATGCTCTGGTTTTGCTTTCCTGGTTTCTGTAGTTGACCAGAATATATACTTATATATGAGAATTTGGAGCTAGAAGCCTCAGATAAAAGAAAGCATCTAAGTTTTATAGAGTCTGGGTTACTCAATATAATATTTCCTTGTTTCATCCATTAGCCTTCAAAGTTCATAATTTTCTTTTCTTTTGTACAAATGAAAAATATTCCATAGTGCCTATGTGCCACATTTTGTCAAAGGCTCTTATCTGCATTTATTGAGATAGTGTTTTTTGTTTTTGTTTTTTTACTTTAAGTCAAACTGTATGTGTTATTACATTGATTGATTTGTGTATAGTGAACCATCCCAGCATTTCAGGGATATAGTCAACTTGGTCATCATGGTGGGTAACTTTTTTGAGGTACATCTGACTGGTTTTTTTTTTTTTTTTTTTTTTTTTTTGGTTTTTTGAGACAGGGTTTCTCTGTTTCTCTGTGTAGCTTTGGAGCTATCCTGGCACTTGCTCTGGAGACCAGGCTGGCCACAAACTCACAGAGATCCGCCTGCCTCTGCCTCCCGAGTGCTGGGATAAAGGCGTGCACACCAATGCCCAGCCTGACTGTATTTTATTAGTGTTTTATTGAGCATTTTTGAATCTGTGTTCATCAGGACTATTGGCCTGTAGTTTTTTTGTTGTGTCTTTACCTGGCTTTGGTATTACAGTGACAGAGGCTTTTGGGAAAAGGAAATTTCGAGGGCTTTTTTCTTTCTATTTCTGCTTTTGAATAGTTTACTGAAAGTCTAGTAGACTTCTACTATAAATCCATCTGACCCTGGATATTTTTTAGCAGGAGAGATTTTTATTACCATTTCAATCTCCTTATTTATTGTGTGTCAGTTTAGATTTTTTAATTTCTTCTTGGTCTAATTTTGGTGATTTGGCTGGAAAACATTTCTTTTAGGCTTTTCAACTTAATGAAGTACAAGCTTTTGAGATATTCCTTTAGAATATTTGAAGTTTCTTTGGTGTCTATTATAAGGTTTCATAGTTTATTTGGGTCTTGTCTTTATTTCTTTTGGTTAGTTGGTTCAAAGATCTGTCGATCTTTTTTAATCTTCTCAAATAGCCAGCTCTTTTGATTGTTTGCATTGTTTTAATTGCTTCTATTTCATTAATTTCTGTTAAGATTTGATCATTTTTTTTGCTGTTGTCATCTGGGTTTGTAATTGTAATTGGTTTGTCTTTGTTTTTCCAATTTTTTTTTTGAGTTTTATCATTGTCTTAGTCAGTGTTCTATTGCTGTGAAGAGATACCATGATCATGACAACTCTTGTAAAAGAAAACCTTTATTTGGGGTTGCCTTACAATTCAGAGGTTTAGCCCATTATCATCATGGCAGAAAGCAAGGAGGTGCTCAGGTAGACATAGTGCTGGGCAGGCAGCTGAGAGTGCTATGTCTGGATAGGCAAACAGCAGGAAGACAGAGAGAATCCTCAAAGCCCACCTCAGTGACACACTTCCTCCCCCATGGTCACACATTTACCCCCAACAATGCCACACTTCCTGTACTGCCATTCTCTGGTGACTAAGCATTCAAATCTGTGAGCCTATGGGGGCCATTCTTACTCAAACCACCACAATCATTAAGTCATTTGTTTGTTCTCCTTCTGATTTAAAAAATGATATTTTTATTATTTAAAACAATTTTTGAATTCAAATATATTTTTATCATGCTCTTCCCCTTACCCAAGTCCTCTACCCCTCCCTACCCACACAATAAAGTAAGGCTCATATGAACTTACGGAGACTGACACAGCAAGCACAGGGCTTAGATCAGTCTGCACCAGGTCCTTTGTATGTACATTATGGTTTTCAGCTTAGTATTTTTATGGAACTCATGAGTGTGTGAAGTAGTGGGTCTCTGACTCTGGTGTTTGTTCTGGGGACTCTTTTCTTTTAGTTGAGTTGCCTTGTCCAACTCAAAATTGTAAGTTTTTGTTTAATCTTACTATATTTTAAATTTGTCATATTTGGTTGCTAACTCTTAGAAACCAGTTCTTTCCTAAAGAGAGACAGAAAAGGAGTGGATCTAGAGGGAAGGGAAGGTGGGAAAGAGCTGGCAGGAGAAGATGAAGTAGAAAATATAATGGGTTGTATCCAATGAGAAAAGAATCTCTTTTCAATAAAAGGACAAATGAAAACAATGCTAGTATTTTTATTATTTAAAAAATTTTAAATTTTAAATATATTTTGATTATATTTGTTCCCTCACCTAAGTCTTTCCAGATCATCTACCCCTCCCTACCCACCAAACTTTAAAAAGTTATTTCTCAACAAACAAAACCTCATACAAAAAAACACTCCCCAAACCAAGAAAACAAAATAAAACCACACCAAAAAAGGAAGAAAAGAAAAACAAAACAAAACCAAGAAATTCCACCAAATAAACCCCACAAAACTTTAACCAAATAAATGAACAGACAAAAAAAAAAAAACAACTGTGGAGTCCATTATATGTTGGTCAACTACTCCTGAACATGAGGTCTGCCTTGGGTGGTTGTTATACCTAGTGTCACTCTATTGGAGAAAACTGATTTTCCCTCTCCCATAAAGTATAAGTGACAGTTAAGTTGTTAACCTTTACAATAGTAACTAGGTTTTCATTCATTAATTAAAAAAATAAACTATAAGATAAAACAGAAGGCTATTGCATCAAAGTTGAACAAGATACACCAACAGAAGCAAAAAGAGCCTGAAAGAAGAACAAGAATCAGAGACCCACTCACTTGCACACTCAGAAATCCCATAAAACCTCTAAACAGGAAGCCATAACATATATGCAAAGAACCTAGAGCTGACCCATGCAGACCCTTGCATGCTGCATCAGTCTCTGAAGCTCATATGAGCTTTGATCATGTTGTTTCTGAAGGCCTATTTTCTTCCATCCCTGTGGCTCTTAAACTTTTTCTCCCTCCTTTTTCTTAGAGTACCCTGAGGAGAGGGATTTGAAGACATCCCATTTAGGGCTGTTTTCTAAGGTTTCTCACTCTCTGTGCAATGTCTTACTGTGGATCTCTGTATTTATTCACATCTGCTGCAGGAAGAAGTTTCTCTGCTGATAGCTGAACAAGATACTGATATATGAGTATAATAAAATATCATTTGGTGTCATTTTATCACTTTCTCCCCAGTTTTTAGACTAGTATTATTTGGTTGAGACATAGGTCCCTAGGCCATCTAGTCTCAGCTTCTTGGTTACCCAAGAAAGTGATGGGTATTCATTCCATATCATAGAGTAGACCTTAAATCCTATCAGTTGTTGATTGGTTAGTTCCACAAACTTTGTGCTACCATTACCCTAGCATATCTTGCAGTCAGTACACCATTGTAGACAGAGGGTTTGTGGCTAACTTTATGTTTCTGTTTCTTTTGAGAGCATGAGAGTATGTTCTTGTACTAAAGACCCTGGAACATAGGAGTGAAGGCTCTCTGTAGGCACTGACTCAACAACTCTATCTTCAATGAGTTGTGTAGGTAGTGTCTTCAGTAATGAGACCTTGTTGTCAGTTTGTAGAAAGAATCCTATAGTTTTGGCAACAAACTGGGTTGTTTGGGGAGTCCCATAGAGCCGCTTTGGCCAAAAACTCAATTAGATGTAACCTAATCCCAGTACTGGAAGCTTCTTTTGGTGACAAGAGATATCCAGTTGGAACTCTTGTCTTTCCCATTATTTGGTTATTTCATTTAGATTTTCTTCATATATATATATATGAAGTTCAAATGCACCTTGCTTAGTTGATTCTGAGGACCATGTTCTCTTTGTGTCCTTCATCCTTCTCTGACACTTACAAACTGTTTTGCCTACTTTCTGCATGATTTTCTGAGCTCTGAGGGAGAGATTTGATGGAAACATCCAATCTAGACTCTCTGGTTCTTCAAGTTATTTTAGGTAAGTTTCAAGCATAGTTATCTTCAAGGGCTTTAAATGTCATAGTGAGTCTTTGTGTTTCTTGTGATTTTAAACTAAGATGCCCAAGCCCTTGGATAACCAGTATCCCTAACTTCTCACCACCAAATGATTTCCTTTTTAATTAATTTACCTTTCTTCTAAATGGGTTCTGATCACACTGGTCCATGCTCTGGTCTTCTTACATTTCTGTTTTGGATCTCAGTTATTTTGAAATTATTACTATATTATGTCATCACTACTTGTTCCTTGTATCTGGCTGTCAAACATTTCACTGAAATGAATTTAAATCATAATAATGAGCAGACTTATATTTTTTGTATTCCAGATTTCTAATACATGGGATGATTGAGGATCATTCTAAAGTGTTCTGAGAATCACGTCAGAAAGACAAGGCTCTAGGACTGTCGTACCTGTACTGACAATTTGTGCAGGCCAGGGCTGATGTGATGCTGAGGAAGAGATACTGTTTCTGTTTCTTAGCTGTGTTTGTTTATTACTGCTAATTTCTAAGGATGGAAAGTAAAACTCAGAGTGGTCATTATCATAGAAATTAGACATAGCAGTTATTTTGTGCCAACCGTATTAAGAATTTCCACAGCATGAATAACCATCTGAATGATGCATGCAAATAGTGTGTTCTGAGAATCTCTAAAGTGAACAATATGTTAATAGAGACTTTCCTTCTCAAATATCTCTTTACTTTAAGGTAATTGCTAAATGGAGCTATTAAATAGGATTAAAATCCTTGTCTGTTTATCAAATACTTTCATGCTTGAGACTTTGAAACACATGGTCTTATTGGTATCTGCACAGAAATACTTGAATGTCTTGATTTCTGTCTGAATTAGAAAGAACCAGCTGCAATATCCAGTATTTGTATGTGAGCATCCCTCCCCCACCATAAGTAACAATAAAAATGCCTAATGGGGGAATATGTTAATACACCCTATAAAAGGAAGTTGAGAGCCATAACTTTGTGTTTAGTTTTTAATCAGCCAGAACACAAACATATCCTAAAGCATTTTGTAAGCTACAAAGTATTATTTTTTCATTTTCATTTCTTTTTGGTAAAAGTAAGGTTTTTGTTTGCATGTCCATCTATAAATTACAGAGATAGGCAAATGAGTACTGTGAGATCAATGCATTGCCTGTGGTTATTTCTGTTAAGCTGATCAGGTGAGAAGAATCTGGGATTCGTATTAGAAGCCCTTCCATATGGTTTGGTTCCTCAACACCTCCATCAGCTGTCTGCTACACCATGGACATTGATGGTTTGGTCCTTGACACCTCTGTCAGCTGTCCACTCCACCATGGACACTGATGGTTGGGTCCTTGACAGCTACCATCAGCTGTCCGCTACACCATGGACATTGTCCATATGCACTTTGAGGTAGTCATTCCTTGTAAACTTCTTATGACAAAAATGGCACTCTGCCATCGGGCGGTTGGGATTGTGAGTCATCTTATGTCGGATGAGCATTTTCTTCAGGCTAAAAGCCAAGTCACAAACCTAGAAAAGAACCAGACACTGCATATTTATGATGACAAACCAGTCTGTCATATACACAATGTACATTATGAAAATTCCTTCTAACAAGTATGTGCTAGTGGGCTTAAGGACAAACTCAGCTCTCAGAATTAATGGAATTTCATACCCAGACAAAGAAGTTAATTGCAGTTCTCAAGAATCACTTGCATTTAATTGCATGGCTTGCACCACCCCCAAGCATCCTCACCTCTCTCAGCTCTGGGTCATGTCACAGAAATCGCTTCCTAGGGAACATACCTTCCATGGCATAACAGAGTGTATTTACAATTCATAACAACTCCTTATGTGCTGCTGTGATTTACAGCCCGGATGACATCTCTCCACAGGGCATAAATACACAAGACATTTTTTACTGTGATGTTTTCAATTTAGTTCCACTTGAGATGTGACTGGCTACCAAGGCTTTAAAGAGTTATAGACACTTATGGTGTGACTGGTTAACAATGCTTTAAGCACTATAAGCACTTGCGGTGTGACTGGTTAACAATGTTGTAAGAATTATAACTCAAATTTATTACCCAGTATTCTGTTTCTTGATTTCTTGTTGAATGTGTGTTCTTTAACTAAGGCACATAAGCAGTTTATTTCATATGAACTCCACTACACGGCAGCCTTGCTTAACATTCCTATCAAACAACCTGGTAACAGAAAGTACCACAGTAGCAACATGTAAGCAAGGCACAACAACTTTAGTCATGGATGGCAGTCAACTGAAATTCCAAGTTTGACGTTACTCAAGATTTTCGTACATATGTATATATATATGTATATATGTATATATATGAATATATATATGAATATATATAAAATAAAATATATATATGAAAATAACATCTACTTCAAGAATGTAGAAATAATGTAGAAATGAAAGACACAGTAAATACTGAGCAAGGGAACACTAAAGAAAACTGGCATTCTAAATGAGGGGACTAAAGCAAATGAGAACTGTGTGCTCTCTTTTTTATGGAGGAAGGAGGTTGTACAGTCACAGCAACATGAAATACAGAAAGGTAACAGACTTGAATGTGGCTTGGAACAGCAGCCACTGATGGCGATGCATTCTGATTTAATCAGGAGTGCCAGGTACAAGAGCAATCCAGAGACACACTTTATTTCCAAGGAAGCCTGTCCTTGTCCAAACTTTGCCATCTTCTCTCTTTAGCCTTTTTCTTGTGCTAGAATCTAGCTTTTTATGTAGTGCTTATCACCCTCAGTCCTGTTTCAGGTGAGTTACTCACTGGGGCCATTAGGCCTCCAGCTGGCAGGATGAGGGACAAGGTGTTTGTGAACTGTGTCCACTCTTGCCTTTTTGAAGTATTTGGTGAGGAGCCAGCATGGAATTTCACATGGAAAGTATTCCTTTTCACTGCAGTTCCCTTGTCAGTAGAATAACAATAATGGTGAGTTCTTGACATGGCTGAAGATTAAATGCAGTCTGAAGTTTATGCAAGTAGGAGTTATTGTGGACATTCACTAAATGTTAGGCTAAGTTTTTCTTAGTAAACAGGATCATCAGCTTATCGGAAAGAAGAGACTAAGTTGGGGGGGGGGGACTACCACAAGGGAGGACTTGAAAAAGGACACAGATATTCAAGAGTGGTGGTGGGGCTTGCCTGCTAGGTGGGATTCTCTGCTAAATGCTCTCAAAACAGCCATTACTTTACCTTCATCTCATCTTAATGACTGTTTTCTGTAATTTTTCTGGATACATCTCCTTATTATCATAGGGAACTTAAAGGTACAGGTCATTAATCCATGAGTTTTAGTTGAACTTATAAAAAGTGAAGGCTAGCCAGATTTCCTAGCATCAGAAAGTGATTTCTAGAATTGAAGTCAGGCAGTCTGCACTCAAGACCTCTTTCCTAGGGCAAATCCCAGTATCATCTGGAAATTCTCATTCACTTTCAGGTACATGAACTAACTGTTGTTTCTCCTACTTGTCTGGTTCATTCCATTTTAAGGAATAAAAGTGACTTAGAAAATATAAACAAGGGTTCCAGATATTTGGGCTCACGCTTGTAAAAGGAAGGATACTAACTGCAAGTCCATGTCCTCAGTCTCCATGGGAAAATTATGGCAATGGCAATTGGAGAGAGTGTAAAGGATGCTTAGCAAGATGCTGAAGTTATTGGTAATGCCTGAGAACTCAGAAGTCCAGAGGATCCATCCACACATGAGAGGGATGGGGAACCCAAGAGACTGTTCACCGAGAGCCTGAGCAGAGCTCTAGAAGGCAGTGGAGAGCACCTGATGTCACACTTGTGGAAAGGACCTGCAATCACTAGCTTAAGTCTGATGATACTCAGACTAATCCCAGCCCAATGTCAGGTCATTTATAGTCAGTCACACTGGAAACAAGAGAGGCCAGAGAGGGAGAGCTAAAACTGCACAGCAGGGGTTCTTCCTTTTCTTCCCTTCCCCCCAGGGCTTCCCAAACCTGTCCTGACTTAGCACCAATTCAAATTCACAAAATGGGAAAGCTCTATTTTTCACTATTACTCCGAGAGAGGCATCCAAGCTGATTTTGTTTTAGAATATAGTGAAACAAGATATTGGAAAGGAAGTACTTTCAGAGTAGGGAATGAGAATTGTATAGAAACTCAGAAAAAAAAAAAAAAACTTGTAACACAATGAATGCATGTACCACTTGCTGTAATAATAAAATGGCAAAGGACACACTACCTTTCTCTGGTATTCAGTAATCGAGAATAAATATTTGCAGGGCATTAGCTCTGTGACAAGAGAGGCACAGAAGTGAGCACAGTCAATGTATGGAAGAGACTGGGGCAAGCTTTAAGAAGTGGGGCCACACGGCCTGGATGTGGATGGAAGCACATGGCAGGGATGGAGAAAGCACTGGCAGGAGAGAAGACAGTCGGGGAGCAGAGTGTGTGAGAACACTGTGCACTTGAAGGAAGAAGGCTTACAAGTCATTAGAGAGAAGACTGGAAGAGAGGATTGAGTTGAAGGTTGGGAATAAAGTCTGAAGACCTGAATAATCCTAAAAGAGAGTGACAATATATCATGGAACCAGTAGTAATTCACTGAAGCATTCTAACAGAGACTAAGACAAATGCCATTCGGTCAGCAACCAGAAGGTCAAAACTACTGTCAGGGAGGCCATGACAATAGTTCATTCAAGTATTCATTCTTAAAAATACCTACAGTATACTTTCTATGTTTGAGGCTTATTTCTAGGCTTACACACAGAGAAACCAGCAATAAATGAAAACTCCTACTTTCACAGAATCTGTGGTGCATAAAAAAGTAACTAAGTAAGGGTCAGAAAGATAGTCGCTATCCCCAGGACCCATTTGGTAAAGGAGAGAACTAAGTCCCACAAGTTTTCCTCTAACCTTCACACATGCACACCCTTAGTAATAAATGAATAAATAAACTAGTCAATAAATAAGTAATATATATATGTATATATATTATATATATTACTTTATAATATATATCACTTTAGGTAGATACAAGGAACTTGAAGACTATGTAGTGAGGGCTGGAAGGTAATAGAGATACAAGAGGAAATAATTTGAACAGGACTTAAAGGAAGCATAGGAGGAGCAGGCCATAAAGATACACCAAGGCCCAGGCATGATGAAGCACAAGATCCCAGCACTTGGTGGCAGAGGAAAGAGGGTATTTACAAGTTTGAGGCCAGCCTGATCTACACTGCCAGTACTGGAACAAAACGGGTTACAGAGTGTAATCTTATTTTAAAACAACAAGAAAGCAACTAAGCAACAAACAAGAAAATAGAACAAAACAAAAAGATACCTAAAGAGAAAGGAGTTAAAGCAGAGAAAACTGCAGCTATGAAGGCACACTGGTGACCATAGTGAGAGAGATGTTGAGTATATTAGAAAGATCAAGTGAAGAGGTATAAGCACAGACAGTGGGGGGGGGGGCACAGGTGCAGAACCTGGGGAGCAGGGCACAGGCGCAGATCTAGGGAGTAGGGCACAGGTGTAGACCCTGGGGAGGAGGTCACAGGTGCAGACCCTGGGGAGGAGGGCACAGGTGTAGACCCTGGGGAGAGGGGCACAGGTGCAGATCTAGGGAGTAGGGCACAGGTGCGGACCCTGGGGAGGAGGGCACAGGTGCAGACCCTGGGGAGGAGGGCACAGGTAGAGATCTGGGGAGTAGGGCACAGGTGGAGATCTGGGGAGGAGGGCACAGGTGCAGACCCTGGGGAGAGGGGCACAGGTGCAGATCTAGGGAGTAGGGCACAGGTGTAGACCCTGGGGAGAGGGGCACAGGTGCAGATCTAGGGAGTAGGGCACAGGTGGAGATGTGGGGAGTAGGGCACAGGTGGAGATCTGGGGAGGAGGACACAGGTGCAGACCCTGGGGAGTAGGGCACTTGTGGAGATCTGGGGAGTAGGGCACTGGTAGAGATCTGGGGAGTAGGGCACTGGTGGAGATCTGGGGAGGAGGACACAGGTGGAGATCTGGGGAGGAGGACACAGGTTCAGACCCTGGGAAGGACACAGGTGCAGACTTGGGGAGGAGGACACAGGTGCAAACCCTGGGGAGGAGGATATAGGTGCATACTTGGGGAGCAGGACACAGCTGCAGAACCTGGGAGGAAAATAGCTTAGGTGCAGCTCCTGAGGAGGAAGGCACAGGTACAGACCCTGGCAATTTCTTTTTAAATGGAGTGTTATAAGATGAAAAGAGAAAGATCAGTGAAGAAATTACTTCTGCATTCCTAAAGACTAACAGATTAGTTGGGCAGGTGTGTTTGAGTCTGTAAAAGCAAAACAGATTTGCTACTCCATCGGATGATGGGTATGAGAGAGACATGAAAGTGACAATAAGAGTCTAAAGACAGTCATAGGCTTGAAACACATACAGAATAGTATTGACAGAAAGGGGTTATTCATAGATTAAAGAAGAAGACAAAGGCCTGTCAGTCAAGTAGGTAAGTGCATTTTATTTTACTGTTGCCAGATTACCAAAAGCATTTAAGAAAGAAATGAAAACAACTCAACATTGACATCAACAACTCAAGACATCCAATCAAATAAAAATATTAATAAAGTCTAGGACTAATGGACCCCATAGATGAATTTTATCAGTTATAGCAATATTTCTTTCATACAGTGAAAGGGGCACTTTTAAAACCTATTATCTGTAGTTAGCATAGCCTTGTCACCACACCCAGATGAAGATATTACAAAGAAAAAAAAGTAGAGATTAACATTAATGAATCTAAATGAAAAAGTTCACACCCCCTACATTCACACAGGAAACAACCACATTTAATGTAACTCTCCATTAAATATGTTTTAAGCCATGGCTAGGTAGGGTTTATTTCAATATTGTAATAGTGGTTCAAATGGAAAAACAAATAGGGGAACATGTTACATTAGTAGAAAAATAATAACAAAAGACAAACATAGGGCATTTGATAAAATTCAGGATTGTTTGTTGGTTTGAAAACAAACATCTGCTTGAAATCTTTGTCAGTATAACCAAAGGTGAGTGTTAAAAACTCACATTTAAGGCCAACAGGGTAGAAGATACCTGCCACTCGGTGTGGGGGATAGAAGATACCCCAGGGAACCTTGCTCAACACCTGGTGAGTGAGCCAGCCCCAAGGGCATGAGCATGGGAGAGCTGGCCCTGCCCCTCACCTGGGCAGTGTGGGAGAGCTTGCCCCAAAGGCATGAGAGCTGGTGAGCTGGACCCACCCATTGCTGACTACAGCATTCCAGAGGGGGGGCCCCAGACCTTGCCCGGGCAGCACAGCAGAGATGGCCCTGGTAGTATAGATGCTGCAGAGCAGGCCCAGAGAGCACAAATGCTGGCCCTACCCCTCTCAATGGAGCAGTGCTGGAGACTGGACCTGGTGGCTTGGGGTGGGGGAGAGCTTGCCTCAAAGGTAAAAGCACCAGAGAACCAGTCCACATCTTGCCAGCTGCCACAAGCAGGAGAGCTGCTCTGCCCCTCACCTGGGTAAAGCAGGGAGAGCTGGATCTGGTGGCGGGGTGCAGGAGAATGGGTGGCTGACCAACTCAGCTACCACCCAGGCCCAGAGCCAGAAATTTGAGTTAGCCCACTCCAACATCTACCCCACCCATGAATTGCTGAAGTATCTGAAGGGCCTAATCCAGCAGAACCAAAGTTGCAGTAACTTCATGATACAGGGCAACAACAGGATATTCGAGAGGAGTCCCAGTAAGAATACAGTATTGAAAGTGTAGCAGAAGCCAGAGGCCTTGAACCAGACCAATGACTCATTATAATGAACATTTGCAGGTAAAGCTATTTGGGCAACAGGTAGACTGTGTGGCACAGTGCAGATGTTTTTGTTATTGCTGTTGTTTTGTGTTCTTTGGGAGGGTAATTTTAAGCACATAGGGTAGATATGGTGGGATGGGGAGATGTCTGGGATTGGGGTACATGATATAAATGTCACAAAAAATCATTAAAAAGCAAAAAAACAAAAAACCTCACATTTAACACTGTGCATGAAGGTGAAAGGCTGAGAAAGAATCAATATCTAATAGACGTCACATAAAAAAATCAATTCAAAACAGATCAAAGACCTAGATATAAGAGCTGAAATGATACAATATTTTGCTTGTATATTATGGATTCAAATTTTGTGGAATTTTTGTGTGTATATGGTTTATATTTTTGTTTTTTATTGGCTTATTTGAGAGGGAGGGAGGGAAGGACAAAGAGGAGGGAGGGAGGAAGGGAGAGAGGGAGAGAGAGAGAGAGGCGGGGGACAGTCTGAGTGGAGATGAGGGAGGGGAACCTTGATCAGAATATGCTGTAGAAAGAAGCATTTCAATAAAAAGAATAAGTACTGAATTATTACATGACCCAGAAATTCCAACCTCAAAGAAATGAAAACAGATACTCAAACAAATTCATGTACACTCATGCCTGCTGTAGCCCAAAGTAACAACAGCAAAAGCAGAAACACCAAATGACTGGCAGTGGACAGATGGCTGAGCACATTTGATAGATAAACACAACAGGCTATTGTCAGCCAGAAAGGAATGGCCTGCAGATGCACACCTCACTGTGAATCCACCCTAAACACACAAGTCAGTCTCAAATGCCAGATATTGTATAAATTCATTTATATTAAATATCCAGGAAAGGGAACTTTAAAAACATAAATCAGATTAGTGACTGCTGGGGTGTGGGGGAGGTGAGAAATAGCTTAATGGTGATGGCTTTTTTATTTTGGTGTAAAGAAAAATGCCTTGATGCTGGATTAAAAAAAGATTACACAATAAGGATAATGTACTAAATGACACCAAACTCCACACTTTAAAATGGCTAATTTATGTTAAGCAAACACTTCACAGTCATTCCTGGTTCTGCAGCACTTGCAGCAAAGCTTTACAATCTGAACTTCACCTCCAGAACTGTATTAGTAGGATTTTCTAAAGAAACAGAACTGATAGAATGAACACATGTATAACACCCCCCACCCCACACATATATGTTATATGATATATATATTATACATGTTATATACGTGTGCGTGTGCGTGTGCGTGTGCGTGTGTGTGTGATGTGTGCGCTTTGTCTGTCTCTTATGGAAAGGCCAAACTTTAGCAATCCCAATTTGGTGCTAGAGTCCCAAGGAAGTCCTAGAGAGCTGCTAGTTTTCAGGCTACATTGGAATCCACACGAAGCAGGTTCTAGTACAGGAAAAGAAATGCCTCAGCAGGAGGACAGATGGACTTTGCAGCAAGAGTAGGACAAGCAGGCCAAAAGCAAATCTTCCTTCTTCCGTGTCCTTTTATGTGCATTGTCACTTGAAAAGGTGGCCTTGATTTAGGCTCAGTCTTCCCACCTCAAAATATCTAAGGAAGAAAACACCCTCACAGGGGTCCTTAGGTGCCTGGATTTTAGTTAATTCCAGACATAATCAAGACGACAAACAAGATTAGCCAGCACTGGACCCACATGGTAGAAGGAGAGAATGGAGTCCCGCAGGTTGCCCTCTGACTTCTACACCCACACAGTGGTACTCTGGTGCCTACACATGCATATGGACACACAAAGTGTGTAAATACATCTTATAACTTTTAAAAAGATCTCAAAATATCATGTAGAAAGTGCCCAGGGGAACCTCACTGGACGTCTAAAGTGATGAGAAAGTATAAGGACTCCAGTTGCTATGAGGAAGAGAAACTTTGAGGAAGTAACGGATCTGGGAATGCTGTAGCTCAGGACAGAGGAGGAGACAGAGGAGCAGTTAAGAATCAGGTCAGGAAGACATGATTTAGGAGCAGTGACAGCTTCTGTTCCACTGAGCAGGCTACACATCTGGGAAGTTTAGGAAGCACTAAAAACGTGGGTGCTAATTGGAGAGTTTTGACCCTTAGGAGTGAATGAGAAAGATGTAGACAGAAAAATGAACAGATTTGTACATTATAGCCAAACATGTCACACCATAGATCAATTTACCCAGAGATATGTTCATCAAAATGATTCAGCACATGTCAGAGGTAGGGTGAGTATGATGGCAGCAGTTTCCATATGGCAGTGAGATCCTTCCAGGCCTGCAACAGTTAACTTGTGTAGCTGTACAATCAAGGCACTTAAATAGGTTCTGTCTCTATAAATAATAAACTAACTGATATTATTGAGCTAGCTCCAGTTCAGAACCATGTTCTATTTGCATTTCTCTTGCTATAGGTGGTTTTCCTAAAGTGTGTTGGAGATGAAGGTATTGCTGCTTGAGCCTCCACTGAGGTTTCACAGGACTTGGAAAAGGTCTTGATTTTGTGAGTTTCCTTCACGGGGACTGCTTGCACCATATCTTCCCTGCTGCAACATGCCAATGGCATGATGCTCTTCAGTAAGTTCATCATCTACAGTGATTTTGTACTGAGCCATTTAACACATTGCAATTTCAATGTTTCTTCTTATACAAAATTCCACTGATGTTCTTTTTTAATATATATTTATATGTCAAGAGCAAGCACCTCGGTACCTTCTCTAACTCTTGGGTTGATCCGCTGACATAACCATTGGTGGAAAAAAATCATTACCCCCTTTAATATTCTTATTAAATTTACTAAGAACAGTAGTACTTTTCCATTTCAAAAATAATATAAACAGCTATGTCAAATTATTTTGGTTCAATTCAAATATGCTAAGTAGAAAAAATGACCAAAGTAGCATTTATACATAGGATTTCATACATAAATTCTAAACATTCAGTTTGTATTTAACATCTATGAGCAGCTAAATATACATTCTGATTTTTAAAAAGAGCTCCAGGCACACATACAATATATTTTGATCATATTCACTCTATTGATTCAATTGCCACTAACTTGTCAGGGACCTGGGCAGACACATACATTGTCTCAAACTATTCCAAATTTACACACTGGAAGAACATCGTTCCATGGAATCAAACATTGGAAGATATCCTGAAGAAAATCACAGTTTCTTTACTGCTAGTAAACCATAATGAATAAAATATGATGGCACTAAATATGCAACCTGGAGTTACAAGCAGCATAAGGCACCAGAAAACACTCAAAACAGACACAGGCACAGGCACAGGCACAGGCAGCCCTCCTGTGACTGCAGAATACCAGGGAAGAAAAGAGAGACCCCCAACTCACATCACACTGAAAAGGCTTTTCTCCTGTGTGTGTCCTCTTGTGCTCATCTAGGCCCCGCTTCTGGCTGAAGGCCTTGCTACACTCCGAGCACTGGTATGGCTTCTCCTGCAGGCAAAGAAGAGAGAGCAGCAAGAATGTCAGTGAGTGAGTGACGAGTTGCTGAACCTCCACGGAAAGTCAAGTGTCATATATAATATAATTGGAAGATGTTGTCCTCAAGATGCACAAGTGCTGCAGCAAACTCACAGGGGAAAGCTGAGCTGTTTCAAACCGCACAAGAAACACCAAAAATCTCGGGTCATTGTAACCTCCTAGTTGAAAGTGAGTGACAAGGACAGGACAGTGTCTGTTCTCCACTCATACCTTGGGTGCTGTGATCCAATTTTCAATTATTTCTTTTAGCTTAGAGACACCATAAAATTTGGGTATTGTCACCTAAGAAAGCTGAAGACCCCCTCAGCTAAATGATGTAATTATTATAATCTCTGGATTGAATATTTCAGAAACAACATTTCTCTGTAAGTCTAAAGGTACATTTAAAAAGATAGAGTTCACCTTTGATTGATATGTTTTAAATCTTGATAACCAAACACTTTACCAAGTTCTAGAGTTCTTTTTATTAAATCTGAGTATTTCTAGGTTAGACTTTTCTTGTTTTCCTGTTGTAGGCTTTTAAGTATGCATCTTAAAATGGAGAAAGTTCCCCCATTCCCAGGCACCTAAAGGTCCCCTTTAGAGGATTCCAATCTATAGAAGAGCAGGAACAGCAGGAGAGAGCATGCTGGAGCATTCCTGATCCAGCAAGTCTCTTAAGTGACAGGCAGAAACAAATCCTTAAACTCAGGCAACCAGAAAACTCAGGACGGTGAGACACAAGCATTCCCTCTCTGAAAAAGAACCCAGACCCACTCATTACTCCTAACCTGCTCCACTGAAAAACATCAACCATCACTGGCCAAGCACAGGGAGACAAGAGCCCAGGCTGGATGCTATGGGAACACTGTTTAATGCTAGGAGATATGTGTTCCTTTTCCTACCCCTTTCCCTCAGAACTGTGAAGTCTTCATTGTCCCTGGAACATTGCCCAAATGAAACATTTTACAGGCATGTGTGGCTAGAATAGGTAAGCATGTTCTGATACCATTTGCTATGATTTGGGTTAGTCCTCCATAAGAGCTCATGCGTTAAAGACTTAGCCCCTTTGGTGGCACTACTTAGAGGCGGTGGTATCAGGTAGAAGGGAATTAGATGAATGGGGAATGCCCTGAATGAATTGTAGGACTCTGCTTTCTTCTTCTCTTTTCTTTTCCTAGACATCATAAGGAAAGCAGCCGTGTACCATGTGACAGGCTCAGAAGCAGCAGGGTCAAGTGATTAAAAGCTCTAATACTGTGAGCCAAAATTAACCTTTTCTCCTTTTAAGTTGATTAACACAGACCTTTGTTACCACAACAGACATACTGTCTTGCAGCCTTAGTCTCATAACAATGTCACTGTTTTACTTCTGTTGTCCGATGCAGGGATCTTGACTATGAGAATATAATCTGGTGCTACAGAGTATGAATGAGAATTGGTTTTAATGTTCTCGTGGAGGAATATGTAGAATAAATCACACATTCTGATCCATTAGCTGGATTTAACTAGACACAATGATTAGGTTCTTGATTTATGCTGCTTCTGAATGATTACCCAGTCTAGTTGAGAAATAGCCTGTCCTTTGTCATTGTGACCTGGGAACCAATGCTAACGGGAGGCAATCAATTATTTATCAGTTAACCTCTGCAATCTGTGGGTGGCAGAATTAATCAACCATCTAATTAGTCTACTCTAATAAAACAACATCTGGCAGAGCTCACTAGAAGGTGGTTTTATGGAGCTCTGTGCATAGCACCTTGCTTACAGATAACACAACACCAGTTGTGAGTCCTTGATGTCCTGTACACAGGAACAGCAACTTAAGATGCTCAAACAGCTCTCAATGTCATTAAGGAAGGCTCTGGACAAATAGATGTTTTTAACAAATCTGTGGGAAACTCCTTTCCCTTTGAGAAAGAAATTTATTAAGGTCTGTTTTGGTTCTCTCTCTCTCTCTCTCTCTCTCTCTCTCTCTCTCTCTCTCTCTCTCTCTGTTTCTCTCTCTCTTTCTCTCCACACATACACACACACCCACACACACACCCACACACACACACACACACACCCCCACACACACACACCACATATGTCACAAATCTAAAGCAAATGACGCCTACATTAGAATATACTCAAAGGCTACTCCGGGCGTTGGTGGCACACGCCTTTAATCCCAGCACTTGGCAGAGGCAGGTGGATCTCTGTGAGTTCGAGGCCAGCCTGGTCTCCAGAGCGAGTGCCAGGATAGGCTCCAAAGCTACACAGAGAAACCCTGTCTCGGGAAAAACAAACAAACAAACAAACACAAACAAACAAAAACAAACAAACAAAAAAAGAATATACTCAAAGACTTAACTTTCATATGGTTTGGAGGTTAAATAAGGCAAAACTACTTATCTGATTTGGCCAAGGACACACAGGAGGAGGAATTCATTACCTGACTCTTTCTGTAAGACTGACATTTCCATATAAAAGTTAAAAGATTTTTGCTTTTAATTAATTAATTGATTTTAATTTAATTTTATATTCCAAACACAGTTCTCCCTCCCACACCTCCTCCCGGCACATAAGGGATCTCATGGGGAGTCAACAAAGTCTGGCACATTAAGTTGGAGCAGGACCAACCACCATCACCCCCCCACCCAACCAGAGACAGATTCTGGTCCTACTGCCAGGAGCCCCTCAGATAGTTCAGCATTCACAACTGTCTCCTGCATATGGAGGGTCTCATTTGGTCCCACAGAGGCTTGACAGCTGTTGGTCTAGAGTTCCTGAGTTTCCACAAGCTTGGTTCATCTGTATCTGTAGATTGTTCCATCATGATCTTGACCTCCCTTGCTCATATATTCCCTCCTCCCTCTCTTAGACTGGATTCCTGGAGTTCAGCCTGGTGCTTGGTTATGGATCTCTGCATCTGGTTCCATTAATTACTGTATGAAGGATCTATGATGATAGCTGGAATATTCACCAATTTGATTACAGGGGAAGCCAGTTCGGGTACCTTCTCCACTATTGCTGGGAGTCTTAGCTGGGATCATCCTTGGGGAATCTTGGAAATTTCCCTAGCACCAGGTTTCTCCCTAAACCCATATTGCCTCTCTCTATCAAGGTATTTCTTTCATTGCCCTCCCTCTCCACCTCTCTCTGCCTAGACCATCCCGTTCCCTCATGTTTTCATCCTCCACCTTTACCACGCCCTCACTCCAACTTTACTCAGGAGACCTCATCTAATTCCCCTTCCCAGGGTGATCCATGTGTCCCTCTTAGGGTGCTCCTTGTAACCTAGCTTCTCTGTAGCTATGAATTGTAGTCTGGTTATTCCTTGCTTTACATCTAATATCCACTTACAAGGGAGTACATACCATGGCAGTCTGTCTTGCTGGATCTGGGTTACCTGACTCAGGATGGATTTTTCTAGTTCTATCCATTTGCCTGCAAGTTTCATGACATCATTTTTTTCACAGCTGAGTAATAATCCATTGTGTAAATGTACCACATTTTCATTATCCATTCTTCAGTTGAGGGGCATCAAGGTTGTTTCCAAGTTCCAGCTATTATGAACAATGCTACTGTGAACATTGTTGAGCAAGTATCCTTGTGGTATAACTGAGCATTTGGGTATATGCCAAAGTGTGGTATTGCTGAGTCTTGAGGTAGATTGATTCCCAATTTTTTGAGAAACTGTCATACTGATTTCCAAAGTGGCAGTAAAAGTTTGCACTTTCACCAGCAGTGGATGAGTGTTCCCTGACTACATCTTCTCCAACATAAGCTGTCCTCAGAAAATACTGTTTTTTTTTTCTTATTCTAATACTTGAAATGTTATAACCTTCATTCATCCAAGGTCTTTCTCTATCAAGGGGAACTTGATTCCATGATCTGGTGTTAGGCTTGTCAGATATGAAATCTCAACCAGGTAGGCAGCTGATTTCAAAAACCTGGCCTTCATTTCCACCTTGAAATATGGAGCCTACCATGTATAGACCACATGAAACCAGGTTGACTCTTTCCAGCCTTGACCATAGCAAGACCCATCTGGCATTCCTGCTGCGGGGATGTCTAGGGTATCCGAAACAAGAGAAGCATGAGTGTCTTCTATGGTACTTCATACCATAGCTCCTCCATGACATGCAGCAATCCTGAACATTGACTGCAGGTTATCCCTGACCAGTGCCCTCAATGTGGCAGACTCAAACTCTAGTTTCTTTAGTCAGACGGTATAGCCAAAAGATTACTACTGGGTTCCATAAAACATCAAATTTGCACAGAATCAGAGCAGCAATTTAGAGGAGGGTTTGTGAGTGTAGTCCCTCTAATTTCTATTGCACACAGCTAAAGGGGCAGATCTACAGCTTGCAGGACAGCTGGTCATATATCTAACAGCTCCTCTTAATGGCCCATTTGTGGGAGCACACACACCACCAGCTGCACACAATCAGTGTGTACTGAGGCTCCCTCTACCAAGAAGTCCTGCCGAGCAAGCTCTCACAGATGTTTAAAGCTTCTCTGAGTTTTTACTCACCATCTTATTTTTTATAGTCAGTGTGGTCTTTCAACATGTGACAAAATACACTCTTGGACTAGTAAACAAAGCACCTAAAAATTATAACTCACAGGGATGCCTTGGAGAGCTATGAGAATGTTTAAAGCATGTTTCTACACAGCATATCTGTAATTGCTTCTGCATTGCAGCTAATGGAAAACACACTTCTTATAAACCAGGAGAATGAACTACACAATCCCCATATAGGAAACTAAAAATAAGCACAGTGAATAGAATCTAATTGTTATATAAAAGTGTTGTCTCCACACCTGGTCCCTTTCTGATTAATTCCTTCTTGAGGTCCATGCAGTCATTTGCAAAATAACTGCATGTTCAGAAAGTCCAATTCCATGAACAAAGTGGGTACAGTGGCTTATCAGGCATAAAACAGGAAAGGACCATGCAAACTACCTAAATGTGCTTTTGCTGG